TGAGTTCTGTGTGTGTCCATGTGCATAAAGCATAAAAGGGAGAAAGCTGAAATTTAGGGATGTGTTAGATTAGGCACTTTGTGCCATTCTCGTAAAAGAAATTATGGAATGTGTGCCTAGGGTACTAAAGTCACCCCAGAATGAAATCAGGCCAGGGCAATAAAATCAGGCCTGGGCAATAAAGATTGCCCAGCCCATGTAAACCTGTTGAGGAGACACTGGTTAGCATTTTTTGCAAAGTGAAATAAGGTAGACTCAACAAAAAGGTCCTTCTTAGTCATGATTCTCAATTATGGAATAACCAGCTAGGCCCACTAGTGAGCAGTGAAACCTGCAATCTAAAAAGCCTCTTCTGGATATCGATTCTATGCCTCCTCCTTCTCTTCCTCCTCTTTTGCTAGATGCCGTTAGTTCAATGTTATGCATTTTATTTGGTATTATTTCTGTATATTCTTAAATGTATCAAATTTCTCTGCCACCATTTCTAATACCAAAACATAATTTCTGTCTTCTCAAAAACAAAAAACCCAACCAAAACACTTTCTGCACTCAGTATATAGAATGTGTGAATACATGTGAAATTCACATTACAAACACATTAGTGCATAGAAAAACGCACAGCAGAAACTCATTCCTCAGACTCCAGTGACTATTGAGCGCTGGTAAAATTCTGCTTTCACTTTGCCAAGTCTTTATTAAGACACTATGACATTCAATGTACTTTGGCAAAACTCTGCTTTTGCTTCTCCTGCTTAAAGCTCCCTTGAGGGTGCAGCACATCGTTAAAGGTGAGAGGTTTCTGCTTTTTCAGCTGGGGCAGCCAAGTGGACTGTTTCCACTATTTTATGTATTTAATTTATTCTATGTATTTTATTTTATTTATATGCGGGATTTTAATGATTGTAAGCCGCCCCGAGGCTTGTGCGAGGGGGGCGGCATATAAGCTATCTAAGTAAAATAAATAAAAATTTCCTCCAATTATAAGCCATGGTAGGCTGTCATACAAAACTGGGATGTTTCCTGCAATGTGGTTTGCCACTCTTGGGCAAAATGCTAGTGTAATAACCCATGGTTTATTTTGCAGATTGTTTCACCCATGAGGGGCTGGTGTGTCATCTGCACCTGACCAACCATCCCCATCATGGATGAAGGGAAGCAAGAAGCAAGCCCCTTCGCAAGAATGGGAAAAAACACTTGCTGCTCTTGTCAGACTAGCCCAAACTGCTGCCAGCCCAACGGTCAGTGGCTGGAGACCCCTTGCCACAGCTGTGAGCCCCCTTTGTTTACCATGGCTTCCCTCCCGCCCCACTTTAGCCCTTTCTCCTGCGGATTCCTATCCGCAGTTTGACAACAATCTCTGTTTTGATGGACAATGACAATGCCTTCCATGTGCCCAAACAGAACATTGGAGGGACTGTCAGTGTTTGGCAAACTATTTGTTAAAAATGTCCACAAATATTTCATATTGTTTAAAAGAAATATACTTGAAGAACTATGAAAGTGCACAATCCTGAAAGGGTGAAAATGGGAAGCCTTGGAAGGCAATGTGTAGTTTGGGTGCCACTATCAGAATGCAGCCAGTACCAGTCTTGTACATTCACCCATAGAGGCTCCAAATAAGGTGTTTCTTTGGTTTCTCTTGATAACTGTCAAAAGATGAGCTGTGAAAGGAAAACAAAAAGCGGTAGCCAGCATATCATCCCCTTTATGGTGAAATCTTCTTCTTCTTGTCCTGCCTGTCCTCAGGATCCTATACATTTTGCATTATTTCTGAGACTCTAGCTGCTCAAGACAGTGCAAAAGTGATAGCTTTTGAAACTCGAACTCACTTCTAAAACAGTGTGTCGATAAGGCAATTGGGTTTGTTTGTTTGTTTTTTGACAAGGACATATATAGCCATATGTCCCTGTCAAATAACATTTGACTGGGGACTTGACAATACCACCCATCCCACAAGTGTCCGAGCACCACTTGGGGGCAATTGGTACTAACTGCACACCCCTGCCACCCAAAATATTCCATTGCTCTGTCAAAAAGCTCTTTTAAAGAAGAACCAGACTGAGCGCTGAAAAATTGAGGCCTTTTAAATTGTGGTGCTGGAGGAGACTCCTGCGAGTCCCTTGGACTGCAAGGCGATCAAACTGGTCAGTCCTAGAGGAGATCAACCCTGACTGCTCTTTAGAAGGCCAGATACTGAAGAAGACCCTGACTGGAGAAGACCCTGATGCTGGGAATAATTGACAGCAAAAGGAGAAGGGGACAGCAGAGGATGAGGTGGCTAGAAGGAGTCACTGAAGCAGTTGGTGTGAGCTTAAGTGGACTCTGGGGGATGATGGAGGACAGGAAGGCCTCGAGGCAGGCTGTCCATGGGGTCGTGATGGGTCGGGCATGACTTCGTGACTAGCAACAAGAGTTTTGAAGTTGTCAAATCTTTCCAGGGGAAGGGGAGGTATGCGCTTAGAAACTTTCCTAAGCAGCTAGACTCTTAGCAAAAGGTATAAAAAGTACTATTTTGGGTGCTGGTGTAAGAAGCCACCACCCCCTTTTGTGAGAAAAGATCATTTGAATATTTGTTTCTTCCAGTCAACTTGCCTTTTGACAGCTGTCGAAAGGAAGCAAGGGGGTGAGCCTTTTATAGCATTTTGGGTTAATGTACAGAGTTGATAGCTGTTACACTTTGACAACAGGTTATCTCTCTGACATTGCCCAACAAAAGATCTCCTTCATACTTGTGCAACTGTGGCTAAAATATTTTTAAAGGGTTTTTTTTGTTCACATTGTATATGCAAAAATAATAATAAATGCCTGCCATGCACTGAAAGCCCCTCCAAAGTGCTGCTTGGGCACTTTGGGAGAACTCTCAGTGGCTGTCAAAATGAGGAATGTGAAAGCTGTCTGATTTCTGAAAAAGAGAGTTAAAGTGGGGAAAAAAGGCTACAGCAAGCCAAAAATGGCTCACTATCACAGCTGGGAACCAGTCCTGCTACAAGATCCCCTGGGCTGTCTAGCAGGCATACTGTGCGTGTTTCACACAAAAACCAACCCATCATGGTTTATTGCTGGAGTGAATTGCTGTGAAATGCAAGGCACCAGTGGGACTCATTTCCAAATAAACATTGACAGGGGTAGACTGAGGAATGACTAGAGTATTTGATTAGATAAAAAAGAAAAATGACTTAATAGTGCAATTGTATGCATACTTGGATAGAAAATATTCTACGATTTCTAGCATTCCCAGCAAGCCTATACTCTTCAGACTCTGACCTAAGAAGTGATAGCAGAAAACAAGCTCAGGACAGATAGAATTGTGCATGGCATGGAAAAACTGCCTAGAGACATTTTTTCCTGTTTTCATAACAGTAGAGCAGCCTTACCAATTATGCAGGCTAGGGATGCTGGGTGCTGTAGTCTAATACACTGAGACAGCACCGGATTGGGAAAGGCAGCACTACAAACTGGGATTGCAGTCTCTCAGTGAAATGGATTGGCGATAGGACACAAAAGGAAGTCCTCCTTCAAATGCTGCATCGTCAGCTTCAGGAATCGGCAGCCACAGGAAGTGCTGGTTACTGGTTTTAAAATGAGATTAGGCAAACTCATGGAGGACTGGCCTAACCATGACTATTAGCCATGACAGTTAAATAGACGGTAGAGGGAGGGAGGGATGACTTTTTCCCCTGCAGGGTTCTCTGGGATGCCCATGCGAGTACCAAGAAGAGAAGGGACCAGCAAACCATGGTGAGCCCGACTGTACACTCAGCATTCAACCCACTGTGGCTTATTGGCAGGTTGCATTGCCAGGACATGCAAATGCCGAATGAGTTATGTGGCACCTCAAAAAGCTAACAAATTTCTTCTGGTCAAGCTTTCATGGACACTGTCCGCTGCATCTGATGCAACGGACAGTGTCCATGAAAGCTTGTGCCAGAATAAATGTGTTACTCTGCAAGGTGTCATGAGACTCCTGGTAGTTTAGCTAGAGTTAAGACTGTGATGTGATGAGATTCTGATTAGTGCGGCAGGCCGGCAGGAAAAGAAACCATCCATCTGTACCGTTTTAATTAGAGTCCAGGAGGCAGACTTAAGGCAGTGAGGTAGAATAATGTAAACTTGAAGGCAAGTGAACAGTACATGAAAGCAACTGAAGTTTGGCTGTAGTAGATGCGCCTTGAAAACTTACTAAGGGCATAGTCCTTTCACTCCTGCCCTTGAGGCACAGATGCCTCTGAACACAGATGCACCAATGGCCAGGGAAAGGCTCGGAGGAGGCACTCTCCCCTCCCCACTCCACCCCCTTGAATGCCCCACCAGCCCCTGCTCTGGGGGTCCAGGCAGAGTGGAAAGAACCACAGCACCAGAGAGGGCAAAGGAGAAGCCCTCTGCAGGTGGTGTCCCCACTGCAACCTTGGAAGGCTTTGCCAAGGCCCCCGCAGGGACTCTGCCCTTTCCTATTGCCAGCGAGCCTGCATGTGCCAGCCATAGGATTGTATTCTTACTATATTTTTAATCCACCCAATAACAAGTGCCAATGACAAATGCTTCCACCTACCTATATGTCCCAGATCCACTTCAGGAACCAGCACTCTGGTTAGTTATTGGTATATCTGTGACATTATGCAAGGTTATTAGAAGATTAAAGAACGAATTGTGATATCAGAAGGGAGCTCAAGTCCTGATGCTCAGTCCTATGTATATTCACTGGCTGAAAAAACTGTAAAACCTATTCTAGCTGTGTGCCTCTTGCAAGTGTGTGAAGTCACAAAATAAAGTACTGTCATGTAGTGACATCATAGATCAAAGTGCTTCCTCCACTATTAAAGGGACATGCATATGTAAGGAATAGATTCAGATGCTTCAGTAGACCTTTAGATTGTGCGAGGCCAACAGCACTGGCACTACAGTCAGCAGGACTGGCTATACCACTAAAAGAGACGTGGGAGCTGGCCTGGTGCTAAATTAAGAAGAATGTAACTTCTGTAGAAGACAACTGTGCCCCCAAAATGCCACGGCCACTTCTTGCAGGCTGCTCTCATTCCCGAGGCCTGAAAGAGGAGGAAGAGGAGACCCAACCCTGTTACCACCACCACCACCACATGCCACCTTCTCCAGACCATATCAAGAGTCACATCAGCTCTGGAGACAGTCAGCTGAAAAATTCAAATGACCCACCCACATTTTCCTTGAAAGGGTTGACTAAAAACAAGACCCGTGGAGGGGCAAGACAGCATGAAGCAAAAAATAGAAGTTATAGGAAGAAAATGGCCAGGCAGAACCTTGAACTGGAAGAGGTGTCTCTTTCACCAGAACCATTAGGCTTGAGCTTGGAGTTTCAAGAACCATTATACAAGGAGGCAGCCATCACCGACCATCTGTCTGATGATGACGATGATAGTGACTGGAGAGAAAGGTATGACAAAGTACATCTATCAAGGATCACCAATATTACTCAGTGTGACCCATACAATTACAACTCAGCCAGTCTTTCAGGGATGGAAACTTTCTCTTCCTGGCCATTCAGTGATAATGACATGTGTATGGGGTGCCCATCTCATACCAAGGCAGCCGAAAGCTATGCTGCTCATGAAGAAACTATTGGAGAAGTGGAATATGTGTCTCCTCAGCTGAGTTACCAAGAGCTTAGGGAGGAAAATTCTATGCTGAGGAGAAAGATCAAAAGGATCCAAAACTTCTCAGAAAGCCAGACACAGATGTTGAGAAACCTTGAGAGGACCCTGCAAGCCACGGTGAATAAAGAGGAAAAAGACGCACAGGATCTGGAAGCTTTGGTGCAGCAGGCAGAACAAAATCTCCAGTGCATGACTCAGAGGGCCTTGAAGGCAGAGAGTGATGTTGAGAGGATGAAACAGGAGATGTCTTTCCTCCAAGCTGAGCTTACCTGCTACAAAGTGGAGAATGAAACACTGCGGTCTGGCCAGTCTACCAACATGGGGGCAGTAAAACAGCATGTTGATGTAGCTTTGCAAAATCTCCTGCGGGTGACCAACCATGCACACACAACTATCCACCAGTTGGTCTTTGGAGCAGAAACACTGTCACTTGTTGCTGATCTCCTTAAATCTGTAGGCCGAATGTCTGAAGTTGAGAAGGAAGATGAAGGGAAGGCACAAAGTTAGGGAGCTTTCTTGCTTGCAAGTGTAAATGCACCTGTACTATTTGAGGCTTAAAAGCATTTGCTTTCACATTGTATGGCTTCAAATAAGCAGCTTCTCTCTTTTCCCCAGAAGTACTTTTATTACATAATGGAATATTAATTTCATATATTCATGCCTTGGGTGCTCTGTTTCACGGCTGCGTACACAGAGACTGGCACATTACACACATCCCACGATTCCTTGCTTAGTTTTTAAACGATGGAGGGTTTGGGCCAAAGTAGATTTGATGCCACTCAGGTGATTGGCCCTTCTGTAGAGGTAGGAATGGACCTCATGGCTGAAGGCTGGAGCCCTGCAACCCAGAAGGACTTCAACTGGCCACCCAGAGAGTGCCGTACGATGGGGCGGCAACAAGGTAGCCATTGTCAGACCTTGGACCCATCAGGCTTGGCTCAGGTCTCTGCAGCACCCTCGCTTTGAATGTTTAAAAATAGAGTGCCACGTACATGGCTACTGGTGCTCATTTATCATTGCTATTACTTTAAGAATATATATTGTCCTAGTCTACAACAAGTAAATGTGTTTAAAGCAGGGCAGCAAAAGCAAACTTTGTTTTATTAATGAAGTAACACTGGTGCTATGTTTTAATTTAGTTTTACATGGAAACTGCACCTGTTCAGAGTATTTCTTATCATTTCTTTTAATCAGGGCTGGAAAATGGTTTTTGTTTATTTGCATGGAAGGCATGGAACAGGCATGGTGGGAAGGAACGTTAGTTGTGCATTACACAGCTGGAGCGAAGCATGCGGTGGCCTAAATCCGCCCCTCATGGCCACCTCTGCAAGATCATCAAGTCCAGGGTCTAAAATTACCAGATGCACCACCGTTTGTGCGCTTGTTTTTTCCTTAACTAAATAGGCCATCCAGATTGGGACCATCTCATGGGAGAGTGGGGTTTCAACCTTTCCCCCTGGCTACAGCTTTGGAGTCTTTCTATATGAAGCATTATTTCTAAATGTGAAAGAAAATGTATTCTCATGTCATTATTCACTTTATTTTATTATTCCACTATAGCATAGTGTCATCTAGAGGTCAAGGGCTTTTCTATATGTGCTTTATCTACTCTTGGTTGCTCTACAAAACTGAGAGCCACATGCTACACAAAGAATGTTTTCTGCTTTTCCTCTAGGTGACACTGTAGCATCGCAGAATAGAGCCAATGCACAAGTTAAAGAAAAGCATTTTTCTTTAACAAATAATACCACATTTTTCAGGTTCTAAAAACTTCATCAGAAGTGCTATTTAAACACAGAAGTGAAACTGGAGGATCACAATGCCATCTAAAGAACCTGTAAACAACCATGAGTAGGGAATGGTAAGGACATAATAAATCCTTCCTGTAGAAAACCTTTATTTGCCTCCTCCCAAAAGGGGAGGGGGCAGGAAAGGAAAAGTTCTTTGTTTAGAGCATGGATCTCAATTCTGTGACAAAATCACAGTGGTGGCTAAGTGGATTAATAGCCCTGTATAAAAAAGTCTCGTGATTTGGATCTTTCTCCCCTCATCTGTTTTTGCAGCCATGACTGGGATTTGCCTACAGTCCAGCTAGGTGCAGCCTGAGTATGTTCTCCACTCTCATCTTTAGATTAATATCGAAGTGTTGCCCATGCAAGAAACTGGAGGGGAGGCCTTTGTAATGTGAATGAGCATTCTGGCCAGGAGTAAGTTGTACCCTTGTACAACTGATGGCCTGGCACAAGCAATGCCATTCCCCTCAAAGGTGAAATCAGCCTGAGATAGCTGGCCACACACTATGTTCAGTTTTTGACAGTATTTTCATATCTGAGGCTTTAAATTTAAGACAACTGGAGGCATCTAAATAGCATGTGTGAGATTGGAGAGGAAAAGAGATGTTTGTCATTCTAGCATGACTCATACTAGCTAGATTTGATGGGAGTTGTAGTCCAGCACTTGTCAAATACTTGTTTCTAATCTTATATGGGGTTATCTCCTACAGCATTTTCCCTTCTGTTAAACAATCTTGTGTGGAAAGGGGGAAACCCAACTTTATATATACATTAACAGAGTGTGAACTCAAGTGAGACATCTTGGTTGCTAGCTGAAAAGATGGACATAATGTGTGACAGCTGTGAAAAGGGCGCATTCCATGTTAGTGCTCGGGAGAAGTGGGACTGAAAATAAAACTGCTAATACTGTAATGGCCTCAAACAAATGGACCGTGTGGCTGCAGTTGAAATACTATAAAGGACAGAAAGAGCCGAACAGGGCTGCCATCAAGGGTGGGCATGCTTGAACACCTGCCCAGGGCTTGCACCCCGATACGGCCTGCTGACGTGAACCCCCCGGCTTGCTCCTCCTCTTCATCATTGCAGCCTGCTTGCTCCTGGCTGTCCATCTGTCCAGTAAGCAAATGGTAGTGGAGGTGAGAGGCAGGAGGACGTGCAATTGCTGCTGGTGACTATAGGCTCAGTTAGGGAGGGATCCCATGGAGGTGTCTTGCCAAGAGCTGTGTGGGGTTGGTGATTCCTATGTCCACGGGCACCTTGTCCATGACAGATTTTATTTTGA